TTGTGATCATCAGCGGTTCTGTACTGTTCTAGGCCTTGTGCCTACTTGGCCTCATTTGCTCACTTCTTGACTTTGCTTGTACTGTGATCTATATATTTATACCTGCATGCTTACACTTGCTAGGTTGTGATCACTGTCCAGCTTGTTCTTCTTTATATATATAACTCTGCATGTGAACTGGCCTTGTGGCCATATGCTTGTGCTCAGAATGCGTGGTGACTTCGTGATCCACCCTGAGCTTGACCTTGCTTCGTTCTCTTGCTTGTCCCCCACTTTGCCTATGGGGGTGTGTCAGAACTATGCTCTAGGCTGTAGTGGGGCCCTCCTTATGGGGTACAGCCCAATTAGGTTTTGCTATACAAACCCTGTACTGCTGTCTTCCTAGTCATTCTTGATTCCTACTTTTTGACAAGTACCCCCAGAACTAGCGCCACCAGCGCCAGCACCTCCAGCTCTAGCACCCCCAGAATTAGCACCTCCAGTGCAGGACCTCTAGCTCCAACACCTCCAGAACTAGCGCCACCAGCGCTATCATCCCCAGCTCCAGCATCTCCAGCGCTAGCACCTCCAGCTCCAACACCTCCAGCCAGTGCTAGCACCTCCAGCTTCAACACCTCTCGAACAAGCGCCCCCAGACCGAGTACCGCCAGTGGCAGTACCTCCAGCTCCAACACCAACCAAGTCCACAGTAACATGTCACGGAAGTGCTAAAGGCTGCTGAGGGGACTGTGAGGACTGCGGGGAGGGAGACGCTACATGACGTGCGACCGAGGGTAGAGGGGTAGTGTGAGACACACTTGACGGTGCAGGACCAGGGGGGGGCGGGGGTACCGGAGGAGCGGGAGCAAGGGGAGGAGAGGGTGCGAGGAAGAGGGGGGGGAGGGTGAACCGGGAGACCTCGACAGGGGTACCGGGTGTAGTAGGACACTGGCTCGTCAAACCGGACGTCACGAGAGTCTAGGAACTGGTGGAGGGGCGGGTGGTAAAAGGAGTAGTCGGGAGAGCCCATCAGGAAACCAAGGAAGACACAGGGGATGGCGCGACCCGAGAGCTTGTCCGCAGAGGTGTCGCGAAAGGAAACACCGTGGTGTACCTGGAGTAGTCGTCAACGACCACTAGAAAGTAGCGCTCCCTCTCAGGTCCGAGCGTAGGGGCAGGGCCCCAGACGTCCAGGTGGAGAGTCTGGAAGGGAGCAGTGTCCGGACGAAGGGAGTAGGTGTGCGGAGTGGCGCGCAGGCGGCCGGCGATGCAAGGAGTGCAAGGTGGAGCAAGCGAGGGAGGGAGCGACGAAAAGACGCGCGGGAGACCTGAGACAAGACTGCGACTGTCCATGCTGCGGAGGTGGGGGAGCGACGGGTGGCCAAGGCGGTGGTGCCACAAGCCGGTCGGGTGGGCTAGGGACCGACAGGAGCAAGACGCGGCAACTAGACCGGACACAGCAACCTGTGGGGACGCAGTAACCTGATCGGACTCTGCTACCGGGGGGGACGAAGCAACCTGACCAGACGCAGCTACCTCCGGGGGCGGAGTGTGCAGGACGAAGAGACCTGAGTGGGCTCTCTGGTGAACTTGGCAAAAAGTGCCCCGGTGGAAGAGTCCATACAGATCGCAGTCCTCCCGTGCGCAGGAAAAGTGATTGTGATCCCCCGGTCCTGAAGGTATCCAACACCCACCAAGTTCTGAGAGAACGAGGGGATGAAGAGACCAGTGAGGAAACCAGAGGGGACAGCTGGTCACAGGAGAGTGGTCGAGCTGCGAGCTACTGCTGGTCCTGAAGTAGGATCGGCCAGGACAATTGGGACTGGAGCCGAAAGAGGTGTGACAGTAGTGTGGGCGCGAAAGAAGCACTGAGACGCGCCGGAGTCCAGCGTGAAGGAGAGCGACGCAACAGCAGTTGTCACGGTTGGGCCAGTGATTACACAAGCACCTACACTAAAAGCACAAGTACCTATAGTAGCAACAAGCTAAGGTCCTAAGCTAGGTACACTCAAGCCAAGAGATCCATACGTGACAGAATAAACAACATCCATAGACATATCAAACACAGGGTAACCACTACGAAACAGATCGGGCCAGATCGGGGGAGCCAACTCAGGCCCAAAACGCTCACAGTAGAGGTCGTCGAGGCGACTGTAGCAGCGCTGTGCAGAGTGGTCAGGACGCCTGCAGGTTGTGCTAGCACCAGGGCCGGTCAGGATCCGGTACTGGCAGGGGCCGACATCACGGCCACCGCGACGAGCCCCCCAGCTAGATAGGCTGCTGCTGCAGCCAACGCTACCCGAACCACCTAACCCCCACGGCTGCTGAGGGCGCCACAGCTGCTGAGGGCGGAGCTGCTGCTGAGGGCGCCAGTGATGCTGCAGGTGCCACTGCTGCTGTGGGCGCCACTGCTGAAGCTGCCGCTGCTGCTCTCCTTGCTGCTGGAGAACCCTATTGGACGCCATGATAAAGGCTAGCGGGGTGCAGGAGCGGCAGGCTAGGAGTGACAGAAGCTAGGGACGGATGGAGCACGGAGCAAACTGAGCTAGGGGAGCGCTAGGTGAAACTAGGCGAAGAACGGCTGTAGCACGGAGCAAACTTAGCTAGGAGCGCCAGGTAAAACTAGGCAAGGAACGGCTGGAGCAGGAGCAAACTGAGCTAGGAGCGCCAGGTGAAACTAGGCGAGGAACGGCTAGAGCACGGAGCACACTGAGCTAGGAGCGCCAGGAGAAACTAGGCCAAGGAGTAGTGGCCTCCAGCCGCGGCAGAACGGTGAACCCAGTGGAGGTACGGTAGGGAACAGGAAAACCGACAGTGAGACAGCCCGGAAACGGTCTGCTAAGGCTCGAAGCGCGGTAGAGCGTGGCACGCGCCTCGGGAGAGCTGTCGTGGCGCGCGCCTCAGGCTACTCTGGCTGACTGTGGAGCGCACGTCGCTAGGGAGGGGTCGCGCGTGGGCTGTGGTATGGGGCGCGTGCGGGCTGGGTAAGGGGCACGCGCGGGCTGTCATGTGGGGGGCGCGCGCAGGCAGGGTACGGAGCGCCAGCGGACTGTGGTAAGGGGCGCGCGCAGGCGGGTAGCCGGGGCGTGCGCGGCTGGCTGGGCGTGGGGCCAGCGCGGCGGCTAGGGGTAGGGCGCACGGGCTACGTACGAGGGCCAGGGCGCACGGGCGACGCGCGGGCTAGGGGCAGTGCGCACGGGCGACGTGACGGGCTAGGGCAGGGCGCACTGGCTACGCGACGGGCTAGGGCAGGGTGCTCGGGCGACGTGACGTGCTAGGGCAGGGAGCACGGGCGACGCGACGGGCTGGGGCAGGGCGCACGGGCTACGTGACGGGCTAAGGCAGGGCGCACAGGCGACGCGACGGGCTGGGGCAGGGGCCTGGCCGACGCGACGGGCTGGGGCGGAGGCGCGATACACAGGGCGTGGAGGGCGCGTAGGGAAGGGCTAGGCGCGGAGGCGCGGAGGGCGTGTTACGAAGGGCTCGGAGGGCGCGTTACGGAGGGCGCTTTACGGAGGGCGCGGAGGGCGCTAGGGCGCGTGACGGAGGGCTCGGAGGGCGCGGAGGGCGCTAGGGCGCGGAGGGCGCGGAGGGCGCTAGGGCGCGTGACGGAGGGCGCGAAGGCGCTCTAGAGCACGGAGGGCGCGAGGGCGCGGAGGGTGCTAGGGCGCGTGACGGAGGGCGCGTAAGGCGCGGAGGCACTCTAGGGCGTGGAGGGCGCGAGGTAGGCTAGGCTAAGCAAGGATTCTAAACCTACTCGTGATACCATCTCAGAAATGGAATGCAACGGAATGGTGTGACTAGGAAAGCAAGGGAGTACAATTATGAAACCCTAACTGAATTGTACTCACTAAGGACCACCTCACTGCAACCTATAACGAATAATAACATTTGACAGGTTATACCGTATGGCCTCGGATATAGGTGCGGCACTTCTATCTGGAGCATGGCGCTTATGGCCGATACTCGATTATAAGCGCACCCCATTTGGAGCCTGTACATATTATAAGCTCATCCCTTTAACATTCCGGAGGTCACATAAAAGAAAATTCAAAAACGAAAATAAGCATTTTCTAAAATCTACCATGATAAAACTAGCACCAGCAATTTTAACTTATTTATAAAAAAAAATAACTACAAATTCCCTTTCGGGGATCTCCCTTTCTACCGAGAAACTAGCGACTCCTCCTCGTTAGACCCTGGCTCCTGGCAGTTGTTGCCAAAGAAGCCATCGGCGATGATGACATCATCTCGATGTCCACTTCCACAATCAGCTGGCTCTGCCTGTGCGCCATGGCGAGCCCGTCCTCACTGCCATCAAGCGCGTTGCTGATGCCAACGGTGAGGAAGGTGCGCTTGATGAGGTCGGCGGGCACTGCCTTTCAGGCCCGTGAGATCCATCTCAACACTGTTAGAATAGTAGCATATGTATGGGTTAGGGTTTTGGTAGGTCCTAGGCTTAGTAGCCTAGGCCAAGGAGGAACGAGAGAGTTGTGCCAAGAAGTGTCGAGAGAATGATGGTTTCACTATCGAAACATATAGGAAATGTATATATGATACCCACTCCCTAACTGTATGCAGTTGAGAACCATGTGCAGAACACTCCTTGAAGGGGTACACCAAGGTGCAGCAGAAATAGGAGAGGGCATGTGAGGAGGAGAGAGAGAGAGGAGAGGAGTTGGTGGGTGGCATCTCAAGCTGCTGGCACACGACGGTCACTCCTGTCAACCTCTTCCTTCTCCCCTCATACCACCCCCTCAACCCCCCCCTCACATCAGCAGCAGCGAGAGTGAGGAGAGGGAGGAGGCATGCTGGCGTTGTAGGTGCAACCACCCCCTCACCCTTCCCCCCCCCCCACACCAGCAGGCGCGGCAGGAAGAGAGAGGAGGGCGGCGGCTGGTGGTGCAGGCGCAGGTGCGTGTGCAGCTGCGCGCGACTGCGCACGTGGGGTAGCAGCACGCGGGGCAGCAGTGCGCAGGGCAGAGGCGCACGGGCCAACGAGGCGCACAAGGCAGCAATGCTCAGGGCAGAGGCGCGTGGGGCGTGGGGAAGCAGAGGGCGCAGGGCGCGCGGGGCAGTAGGGCGCGCGCGGGGCGAGGCAGAGGCACACGAGGCTCCGGACAGAGGCGCACGAGGCGCCGGGCAGAGGCGTACGAGGCGCCGAGCAGAGGCGCACGAGGCGCCGGGCAGAGGCGCACGAGGCGCCGGGCAGAGGCGCACGAGGCGCCGGGCAGAGGCGCACTAGGTGCCGGGAAGAGGCACACGGCAGGGTACCGGAGGCACAAGGAAGGGGATGAGAGGAGGAGGAGGCGGCTGATGCTGCACCTGGACTCACCCAACCCCTCACCCCGCCTCCCCCTCCCCTCCCCCCCCCCCCCCCCCACCCCCCAGCAGCAGCAGCGGGAGAGAACGAGAGGAGGAGGTGGAGTGGCGGTAGGCGATGCAGTGGCACTCCCGCCACCCCCAGTGTGAGGCAATATTGGGCGGCAGCAGGTGCTGCTGGCGCTGACGGACGATGCTGACACCCGCCCACCCTTCCTTTCCTCACTCCTCCCCTTCCATGAGCCACCAACCCCGCCACCCCCCCTCCCAAGAGCCGCAAACCTCGCCACTTCCATCCCCATAGGTCGCAACCCCTGACACTCCCCCTCCCCCAGCCGACATGGCAGTAGGAGCAAGCGCGGCTGGCGCTGACAGGAGCGCGATTGGGGGAACAAGGACGGAGGGGACAGTGGGAAGGAAGGCAGGAGACGTCTGGGAAGCGAGGCAGGCCGGGGCGGGACGGGACAGGACGAGATGGGATGGCGCGGGGACGGGACGGTGGTGCAGGCAGCTGGTGGTGGGCGCGTTTGGCTTCCCCCCCACCCTGCCACCTCCCCCCCCACAGCTAAAGCCGCGGGTGGGGCATGGAAGGGCATGGCACGGGCGCGGGCTGAAAACGTCCCAACAAAACCCCATTCCCCCCCCTGCCTTCCCCCCATTACCCCCCTTTATGGCGGCGGCGGCTGTCGCACGCGCAGCTGGCGACGGCATGCTGCCGCACTGCTGGCGACGGCGTGCAAGGTCGCTGCTGGCGGCATCGTGGTCGACGGGCGTGTGGGCGGGTAGACGGACGAACGAGCGGCCGGGCTAGCGGGTGGAAGTGCGGGCGAGCGAGCGGACGGGCGTACGTGCGTGGGCGAACGCGCTGGCGGGCCGCTGGCGATTTCGCTGGCAGTTTTGCTGGCGCATGCGCGAACATGCTGGCGGGTTGCTAGCGTTCGCCATAGCGTCCGCCTCGGCCGTCGCACTGACCGCCTTGGCCGTCGCACTGACTGCCGCGACGAGGCAGACGACAGGGAGGTGACGTGACGGTTTCAGCACAAGCAGCAGAAACGCCCCAGCAGAATAATAGGTCGCCATGTATGATGGCGGATTTGGTGGGCCCATGAAAGTTGGTCCTAGGAAGAAGAACCACACTCGGATTCCATGTCAGAAAAGTAGCACAAGTAGGAGTTAGGTTTAAGTAGGGCCTAGGCTTAGTAGCATACATGAAGACCAGCCAACCCTACGCTAACCGTCATCTTCTACACCATCTCCTACAGCCGTGGATCCTGTGAAGGCTTTCTCTATTGAGAAATTCATAGGGGAAGCTACGAGCACTGGAGCTTTCGCATGAGGCTGATGTACACCCAATACAAGCTATTGGACCTGGTGGAGGGGAAGGAGAAGATGCCGGAGGTCGCGGAGCTGAAAGGAGCATGGATGAAGCGCTCGTTCGACGCGTACATGCTTATGGTGCAAGTGGTTGGCGGACGACAACTCGACCACATCAAGGACCTCTTGGATGATCTAGAATGTGGAACCAAGGCTTGGAGGAAGCTTCTGGATGTGCACTCACTGACACACGCTACCGGCATCGTGCTACTCGCGCGGCGGCTGCGCGACATAAAGTTCGTTAATGGAGAGCCGATGCAACCGGTGTTGGACGAGATGCGTGACATCTTCACGAAGCTCCAAGGCGGTGGTGTGGTGTACTCGGAGCTCCTGCAATGCGTGGAGATTGTGATACGGCTGCCGGAGTCGTGGTCTGCCCTTGCGATCAACCTCAACTCTCAACAGCCCCAGTAGAGCGTGGATTACATTCGCGCGCGCATCCTAGAGGGGGACTTGCGGCGGCGGAGTGTGAAGCGCTCGGAGGAGGGGGCTGGCTATGGAGTTGGAGGTGGAAAGAGTGGCTTCAAGAAGAAGTGGAAGGGCAAGAACAAGGACAACCCTAAGGAGGATGGCGGCGGGGGCCAAGGGGAGGTGTGCTTCTACTGCAAGAATCGCGAACATCGTTGGCGGAAGTGCTACCAACGACCCAAGGATTGGACCCCGCCTTCATCAAGCTTGGTGGCAAGAGGAGTGGGGGAGTCATGGGAGCTAGTGGAGAGGAGAAGGATGAGGAGAAAGGCGGCAAATCTGAGGAGCGGAAGGCCGAGATCTTCTTCTTCATGAACGAAGGCGCAACCGACCTCGCCATGGCTGCTAAGGTTCTCCTACACCCCCTCACCCATTGGGTGATTAACTCGGGAAGCTCCTGGCATATGACTCCTCGTGTGGACCTACTCGATAAGATTCAGCCCGCACCAATCTCTACGGTCACATCCGCGACGTGCGCCAAGGCCGAGGTCATGGGCATGGGGTGCGCCAAGTTCATGGGAACGGATGGAGAGCTCGTGGTGCTGAAGAACGTGCTGTGGGTGCCGAACTTGTGCGCGAACCTGATTTCTACTAGCCGATTGGGAGATGCGGGTGTGAACACCGCAACGATTGGCTCGGAGCGCTATTGTGCCTACAACCACGAGCGCCTCATTTGGGATCTGCATCGGAAGGGAGATGTCCAAAAGCGCATGTGGCAGATCCCGGTCCTCCCTTGGTGGAAATCGGGCAAGGTGGCAGCCGCGGCATCTATGGAGGAGAGCATCACTGAGGAAGAGCAGCAAGGTGTGCAAGGAGACAAGCGCGGCGGTGAAGGCGTCGGCTAACACGGGCCAAGCGGATTGGGAGACTTGGCATCGGCGACTCGCACACGTGGTTGTATCAACATTGGAGGTGATGCCGAAGGAGAAGTGCGTGCATGGGCTGCAACTGCAAGGAGATGGCGCTCACCATGGCAGTTGCGAGGCGTGCATGCAAAACAAGTTTGCGCGGTTCCCGTTTCCACGTGCGGAGGAATTGGCGAAGGCACCCTTGGAGGTGGTGCACATGGATTTGGTGGGTCCTATGAGGACAGAGGGGACTGGGGGAGTGCTGTACTTCCTCACCATGGTGGACAAATGGAGCCGTTTCACGTGGGCACGTCCCTTGTCCAAGAAGAGCGATGCTGCAGCGACGATCAAGGAGGATTGGTTGCCGATGGTGGAGCGGCAAGCGATGGGGCTGGTGAAGGTGTTAGAATACTAGGAAGATGGATGACTAGGAAAAGTGTGGAGAGTTTTTACAAGAGAGAAACCTAAAGGGGTTGTACCCCACATTGGCTACCCCACTACAGCCTACACCTAACTTATATATATAGATATAGTTTGACACACCCACATAGGCAAAGTGGGGGAGAACAAGAGAAGCAAAGCAAGCTCAGGGTGGATCACAACGTCACCACACATTCCGAGCATAGGCAAAGGGCCACAAAGCCAGTTCACATGCAGAGGTATATATGGAACATCAACAGTACAGTGATCACTACCTAGCAAAAGCAAGCAAGCAGGTATATATGTATAGATCACAGTACAAGCAAGGTCACGAAGTGAGCAAGTGAGACGAAACAGGCACGAGGCCTAACATAGTACAGGAGCGTTGATGATCACCAGACGGAAGCGCCTTGGTGAATATGTCAGCAGTCTTGGCCCTAGTGGCCACGTAAGCAACACGAAGCTGACCACGCTGCTGAAGCTCTCGAGCAAGGAAGTAACGCAAAGCGATGTGCTTCGTTCTGTGCTCCAGTCAGTGCTCCTGACACAAGGTAATAGCAGCCTTGTTGTCTACGTACAGAACTGGAGGAGAACGAGGCCTCTCTCCCAAGTCGGTCAGGAGGTAGGTGAGCCAGCGTAACTCCTGCGCAGCCATGGCTGTGGCGTAGATCTCAGCCTCACAACTGGAGCTTCGAACAGAAGACGAGCGGGTAGACCGCCAAGAAACAGAGCCGCAACCAAGGCTGAAGGTGTAACCCTGTGACGACCGCTGCGTAGCCAGGTCGTCAACCCAAGACGCGTCTGAGTGTCCAGTGAGCATAACCTCACCCCGTCCTCCAAGCCCCATGCCCGATGTACTGCACAAGTAGCGCAACACCCTCTTAGCAGCCTCCATGTGCTCTCGCCGGTGACTCCCGGGCGCAACGTAGCGAGCCATGATGCTAAGAGGGTAGGCAAGGTCAGGTCGAGTGCAGGTCATCAGGTACATGAGGCAGCCCAAAAGCTCTGGATACGGGCCACTCGGCTCTACGGACTCATCCGAAGGCAGAGCTGAGAGCGAGTGACCGGTAGCCATAGGAGAGGACTGTGGTGAGGACCAAGTGAATCCGAAGCGCTGTAGGACCTGCTGCACCATGTGTGACTGAGTCAGTGTGATGGTACGCCGTACTCTGTCCCGGGTGATATGCAAGCCAAGGTAGCTGCGCAGCTCACCCAGGTCTGTACACATGTGTCTCATCTGCAGCTCCGACTTCACAAAGGCGAGTGCCTCAGTGTCAGCAGTGGCAAAGACCAAGTCGTCGACGTACACGAGGATGTAGAACGGCGGCAGCGAAGTGTCGGTGCGCAAAAACATCGATGGGTCAGCTGTCGAAGGAGCAAACCCAACAGCTGCAAGTGTCGTCCTCAGTGTGTCGTGCCACTCACGAGTGTCAACGGGAGTTGTTGTTGGCCCCGTCCTTGCTTGGGCGGAGCCGACTTCGTGGTTGGGTGTACGGGAGGTACAGCCGACTTGCAGCAGTGGGCGACGCCGATTTGGGCGAGCTGGTCGACGGGGTTGGTCGACTTGCACGGGGCCACTGCAATGCCGCCGACTTGGGAAGCCGGCGGCCGACTTCAACTGGTGGTCGGCGATGTGGCACGTCGACCTGGAAGTCAGCGACAACTTGCAAGGTCGCCGACTTGCAAGGTCACCGACTTGCAAGGTCACCGACTTGCAAGGTCACCGACTTGCAGGGTCACCGACTTTGGAGGTCGCCGACTTGCAAGTCCGCCGACTTGCAAGGTCGCCGACTTGCAAGGTCGCCGAATTCAAGAGGTCGGCCCGGAAGTCGGCGCCGACTTCGGGTAGCCGACTTGGGTGGTCGGCTGACGACTGTGCTGGTCGACGTGGAGCTGGTCGACCGGGAGTGACGTCGACCTGGAGCTGGTCGACCAGGGGTGTGGTCAACCTGGTGAGGTCGACTGGAGGTGACCGTTGACTTGGGAGGTCGACGGGCACATACAGGAGCACCTGGTCGACGTGGTTGCCCGGTCGACCAGGTTACCTGGGTGACGAGGTTCTGCGGAGGAGTGCGACGGTCGCCCAGGCGAAGTTGGCGAGTCCGACCTCGGTGGTGGTATCCCAAGGTCGACGTGGCTGATCAGATGCAGTCGTCAGCGCCAGGTTGACTTGGTGTGTGCGCAGTGCAGGT